TTTGTAAGTTCATAGGTATAACAAGTTAACAAATTGAGAATAATAACGATTCATAGCATTAATTTTGTCATGAATGTTAGGATCCTGAGTAACTATAAAGTCGCGAATTGCGCTCAACTGGGGGTCAGAAACATAATTGGACTCAATGAACTTTAGGTTAAACAACTCCGGTAATGAAGTGATTTTATTAACAATCTTGCAATTCCGAGGGATGATTGACACACATACTGAAGTTGGATCCACGGGTGGTATTGTTTCACCTTTGAATGCCGAGGGTAACGAGAGTGTGGTATTAGTCCGAACTGATTTGGTTTCTTTAGTAATAGCTTCCAAGGATACGGTGTTCTGGGGGTAATTCTTCAATTTCATCACTACTACTGTTTAGACTTGGGTGCTGCTGTATAAATTTCTGCCATTTCCTCATGTTTTTGTCCATTTCGAATCGAGATACTGAATTTTTAGATTTGTTCGGGAAATTTAAACAACTTTGTTTTGATTAAATAATAGCACCAACTAATTTTCCGCGTATTTTGCGTAGCCGTCGGTCCGAGCCATGTGTTCGATTCCCGCTCACATGGCTTTCCGCCCTCTACCGGTTCATTTCTTGACGAAACTTTCAATCTATTTATAGATTGATTACTTGCCGCTTTGATATGCGGTCCCTTGGATTTAAGATTGGATGATTTGTATCCCCTGGATGCATTGTTCTTATTGAATCCGAGAGCGGCACGAATTAAGTTGATCTTTGCCACAGTAAACATATTATCATATGTACTAATTGGCGTTGCGTCATTACATGGATGACGGGATAAATAATAATCTGCTAGCCCAATTTTCGCCCCTGGTTTGTGTTCAATTTGAAAATCAAAGGGAATGAGCCGATCTAAACAACGCGTCAAACGGCTAAAAATCGTCTTGTTCTTTTTATTATTGCCGTTCAAAAGAAGAATTAACGATTTATGATCGGTCACAATTAAAAAACTCCGTCCCAATATATAATTCCGAAAATATTCAGCCCCCCACACGACTGCCAACATTTCCAATTCATTTGTTGAATACTTCTTTTCCGCTTCGTTAAGGTATCTTGAAGCGAACGAAATCGGTCTCCGCCCCTCCGGTCCTAATTGTTCAAGCACAGCACCGAGCCCGTTATGACTTGCGTCGCAAACGATCCGAATATCCTTATGGATGTCGAAATGTCGCAATTCGACAATGTTGGCACTTGGTTTTTTCAGATTTTGAAACGCATTTTTGCATTCAGAAGTCCAAATGTATTCATTACTTTTACTTAGTAATGGTCGCAACGGCACGGATGATTCAGCTAACGCTGGCCAATACTTGTGGAGACTATGTATTGACCCCATGAACGACTTGAGTTGAGTCAAAGTTCGCGGCGGCGTTAATGCTTCGATCGGTTCGGTTTTCCGTACCAGGGGAGTTATTCCAGTTGATGTTATTTTGTGGCCTAGCCACTCGCAATCCCGTTGTGCGAACTTGCATTTTGATAGTTTTAGAGACATATTTTCCTGATCCAGTTTTTTAAGATTTTTCTCTACCGTTGCTATATGGTCGATCGCGGTTCCCTTGGATACAACCAAAATATCGTCGATGAACGCATGCGCCTGTGGATATTCCGCGAGAATGCAATCCATTGCGCGCTGAAATTCAGCTGGCATCGTAGTCAAACCATAGAATCCGGTCTTGAACCGGTACGTTCCCGTCGATCGACCTCCGATGAGAGAAAAATTACATTGTACACTCGTTTCAGCGCTTAGTTTCAGATTTAGATTTCAGATTTCTTTTGCTAATCATTTGTCCTACTGTGTCCATTAACTCTTCGATGTTCGGCATTTGGTATTTATTCTTATGCACATGTTTATTTAGTTCCCTGGACTCGAGCGCTAGTTTTACAGACCCATCCTTCTTTACCGTTATGACGATTGGGGACACAAAATATTTATCCGAGTCTTCCGTCAGTTTTTTCGATATGCCCTTGTTTCAGTAGTTTATCGATTTCAGTATCCACCTTTTCTTGCAAGGAAATGGGAACTCTTCGTCCCTTTTGTTGTACTGGGATGAGGTCTTCAAAAAATTCGGCTTGTGCTTTATAGTTTCTTATTTTTCCCACCCTATTGAAAAGGTTTGAAAACTGCTTACTGAAATAGGTTTGCCATGAGTCCAACTCCCCCTCTGGCACTGCTGGTTCCGGATCCACTTCATCGATGGACATTATTTGATCCCCTGGTGGTGATTGTTGCACTAACTGTAGTCCGAGCTGATGCATCAAGTCTCTTCCAATTATCGATTGGCGATTTCCTCCTATGACTTTTATTCTTGCATTTATCGCCCAGCCATTGGATTGTAACGTCACAGCCATCGCTCCAATCATCTGCAGTTCCCATAATCCCGAAATGTATTCTCCTCCTCCGAGAGGGTATCCAGTTTTATCCCCGAAGCTCGCAAGGTTTTTCTGAGTTCACCAATGGTGAACATCGAAATTGGAGATCCGCTATCAATTCAAACACGAGTAGACTTTCCATTTATTTTAAGCGGCAACTGAGCCCCAGCGACTTTCAATTCCGTGGATCGTTTATGTTTGATCGCCATTACCATATAATCTCCGTCTGAACTGCTGGAGTCCCACGAGTGCACCACTGGATTCTTGTTTACCCATCCAATGGAACTTGCATGCTGGGACGCTTCTTCGTCCGCTGAATTATCCAGGTGTGTCTCATCCACATTCTCACGTATCATCCCAACTGCTCCCCGTCCTCGCTGATTTCCGCGCTTCCCTCTGCAGGTACGTTCGTAATGTCCTATTTTATGACAAAAATTACACGTAACTTCCTTTGCCGGACATCTATCCAAGTGTTCTCTCGTAAAGTTTGGTTGATCGCAGTTGTAGCATCGATTGTTTTGGAACAAATTTCCACCTCGGTTCGAGCCTCGCCCTTGATATGAACCTCTGCCTCGCGCGCGATTATTGCGATATCCTCCACGGATCGTTCCCACTGGTTCGGATTTAATTTGAATCCCACCGCCTGAAGATGATCCTTGGGTTCCCGATGATCCCGTGGCGACATAGGATGTGGCATATTTGTTACCCCGCTCGTACGAAAGGGCTATCCGATAAACCTCCTCCGGTGTTTTTGTTGACATGCACAGTTCTTTTTGTGCTTCACGGTAATTCATATTGACAATGAATACATCCCTTAGTATTCGATCCTCCACGATCCTCCAATGTTCCAAAACTGCATCTCGCCGCCAATCCGCTCAGTACGGAATGGAATTGCTCCAAACTTTCATTAATAAATTGTTTCCGAGAGAGAAGCTGATATGTCTCGTATGTTTCATTCCTTTCCTTCTTAAATTCCGTTTCCAGTACGTCGATCATCCGTGGGTAACGAACCGTTGAGAGATCCAGATGTGGTCGTCTTTTGTGAAGTTCGTCTTGGCCCTTTTCTCCCAAGCACAAATACAAATTTGAGATCAGAACGTGTTCTGACTCCAGTCGATTCTTACCATCCACTTCCTCGGGCAAAGCGGTAACTTGAGCGGCAGTGAGAGTCGCTGCGTAATAATAATTCTTCGGATTAATTGAATGCTTAGCCACCATTCCCCATTGGAATCTGTTGATCCAGAATTCCCACATCATCGGTGGTTCAGTACACTTTGCTGGCCAAAATCCTGTAATGCCCAGTGGATTCTTCCCCCCACCTGAGACTGCTGACTGCGCCATGTTAAAAAGACTTGTTTTGCAGTATTTATTTCCAATAAAGATAATCAACTTGATCTTGCAAAGTTAACAATAAGAGTGGTTATCAATATTATCCAAGGGTGACAGACTGTTCCAAGGACAGCACCTGCTAATAGATTAATAAACACCACGAATGACAGTTGATTGACAGCTTGCAATTTGAACTAATTCAATTAACTTTTCAAACCGATTGAAGAATATCAATTAAACCAGAAGGTGTGGTAACCGAATATAAAGAAAAAGGAAATAACGAATACTTGTTTTTATTCGCTGAAAAAATTCAAGGAATAATCCGAGGGATGTCCCAGTGATACGAACCCCGGACCTATGGCACGTCAGGCCCACGTACTAACCACCAGGCTAAGTGTCCTGTATATTAGACAGAAACAAGTAGGATGTAAACAGCAAATAACAATCAGACATAATCGAACTCCACCGGTGGGATTGTTGTTTGATCTCTGTTCTCGATTACAAGATACTTGGGTAACACACAGGAAGGGTCGGTCAGGATAAATTGAAGGTTATTCGCATTTCATTATACTATCTATTTAATAAGTTTATCACAACAATTAGGCACGACAATTAGGCTAAATATGTTTGTCATAATCTAATTGGTCCGTTTGTAAATTTTCATAACAATCGAATAATGTGAACTAAACTTTTACTAGTCAAATTTTGCAGGTGGGGTAAAAGGAATAAGAGCCGAAGAAATGAGCCTCAATTTTGGCTTTGTCTCGGATTCGCTCTGCGACAAAGAGATTGTGAGTCTCACACACACAACTAACCTCTCAGCCACTGATGCTTAATAATTCACAAACAATAACCACGAAAAAAGCAGAGAACATATGCAATAAAATTTCAGATGCTAGAGCTCGTGATAATAGCAAAAAAGCCACCAAATAAGAGAACACGTTTAATGAACACTTTTATTTGCGAGTTAGGCTAGAAAAAAGAAGGTTCGTAGTAATACAGAGTACAATCAAGTGAATTATTTAAAACTTAATTCAGCATTATTTTACGTATTTGTTCTTAGGCCTTAACGAGGGACACACGAGCGCTTCTCCATCGCGAGCAGATAGTTATTTGATAAGTAAGTTTTTGCCCTCATGAATCAATGGCGTATATTTATTCAGCAGTTGGTTGCCCAAATGTGCACTCAGGTCTTTCTGATGAGAGGTCTATGTATCTTTCTCTTAAGAAAAGGAGTGAGGAGGAGGGGACGGGAATTAGTGACTAGACTGACCTGCACTCTCGGACTCCTTCTGACTCTTCTTCATGATCATGTACAGCTGTGCCACCTGGTATTCCTCCACACTCACAGGCAAACACACTCTGTACTCTATCAGTAACATCTTCTTCTTCTTCTGTCAATCACTATCACTACTCTGGTGTCATGTATACGTACGCGTCAATTACTGCAACATTAACAAAGCTAACGAATTGCTCGCTTTTTAAACGTTTAGTCTGTCAACATTTCTCCGGAAGAGACAATATGCCCCTATACGTTGAGCTACTGGGTCGGAAATTGGCGGCGTAGCTTAGCACCGTTACAATCAAATCGTCACATCAAAATCAAGCTGAGGATGACTTTGCCGAAATTTCATTACAATTGTTTTGAATCATTAGTTTCAATATCTGAAATATGGTAAAGAAAAATGACGAAACTGCTCAGATTAATCAGCATCAATAATGAACAGAAAAAAAATAATTCATTTTCATTTCAGATTATAGAACTTTTGGATCTCTTTAACCGTTTCCCGTTTTTGCAAAAGGGGGGAGATTCGTAACTAGTGAAATATATGCCAGAGGTAGCATATTCATAGAGTAATTTCAGCATGACGAACAGAAGGTGCACCTTATCTGAAATTACTCTATGAGTATGTTACCTCTGCCATATAACTCACTAGTTACGAATCTCCCCCCTTTTGTAAAAGGGGGAAATGGTTAAAGAGATCCAAAAGTTCTATAATCTGAGTCTGAAATAAAATGAAAAAGAATTTTTTTTCTGTTCATTTTTCGGTCGGATAGATTCGTGCAATTTCTTAGTCTAATACCAATTTTAATCTTACTCTTATATCTCCAAATCTCAATAAATCTAGTGTTTGCGAGTTAGTTCTTGGAGCTTGTCCAAAAGGAGAACAACTGTAGTATAAGATTTATTCAAATTGTTGTGGTGCTGAAACTACACGTAGTTTCAGCACTTACAACTGAGTGTCAATGTTAGTGATGGAATGTGATTGGTTACTTACTATTTTTTATAGGGATAGATTTATCAATAATTTAATTGGTTTATAAACACTAAGTTTAGAACTGGTTCCACCCATCCGGGGTTCAGAGAGTTTTTGTTTTTAATTGTTTATTGTAGTGAAGGACGGGTGAAGTATTTTTCTTTGAGAGGTTGGAGCAGTGACTTCGTGAAGAGGAGAGAGATGTAGATGTTAAAGTAGAGAGAGGAAGAACAGCTGTTCGTATTCCAAAGGAGGGTCTCGTTTGATCGTGGGTCGTCTTGGGTGATCGTGTCAAGACTTTAGATCGATGCGAAAATGTATCGGTTTCGTTAAGCTTAGAGCGAGACTACGTGCAAGATGAAGTTTTACCTTTCCGTGTGAAATGCCATGTGACTAGGATCGGTATGTGAGATCAACATAGAGTTGGCCATTGGTCTGTTTTAATGGTTTCCTTTGCTGTGATGTTAAGTCCATACTTTAAATCCTTTGAGGGTAGTGACTACAGCAATAAACCAATAGATTCGCCATTCCAGATTTGGAATGTAATCGAGTCTTCATCTCCTTTACTGCTCGTTCCTTCGGCTCTAAAAAATTTTTTAGATAACATTACATAGCATTTATATATCTACATCGTGTTAAAGAAGTCAATTTTTTAGTTATGATTTAGTATTAGTTGTTTTCGCAAAAGCGTTTTTATTTAGTTCAGTTATTTTAAAAAGTAGCTCACCCTAGAGCAACTCTCGTCAAAAATAGTGTGTGGCTCACAAAGCGTGGGTGTAGCGCGGTGGGTTAGGTCGGCTATAGAGCATGCTCAGGACGTCCCTCTGGTTGCTGAGGCAAGGAGTATACTTTTTATCGTCTCTTTGGGCAGTGTCTCACTTTGTGTTCAACCATTTAATTTATTTCCATCAGGTATTTTTCTCTTTTTTGTTTTGGCTATAACCTTTTCTCAGAAGTATTTTTTTGTGTGTTTTGGTTCTTATAAAACTTCAGGGTGAGTTAGTTTCAAAAAAAAATTCATCCAGATTTTATCTGGATTTAATCCAGTTTGGCTACCGTTGGACTTTCTTTTTTATTCATGCTATTAGTTTGTGTTATTGTGGCGTTAGCAAGCTGCGTTTGTTAGTTTAAGCTTACTCTTATAATTCCTTCCAACCGAGTTAAAGAAAGTTTGAAACGTGTGAAAACAAATTAGAGTTGTTATCAGTTATAATTGAAACTTGAAATTCATTTATTAAACTATTCTTCATGGGAGAGTTTGCGAGTTGGTGGAAAGAGCGTGTGAATTATGGGCAAGTTAAGACATATTTGAAAACTATAAAAGAAGCGTTGCAGAAAAAAATTAGTTTTCTTTTAATTTTTATGCAATTTTATAAGTTACTACTTTTATTATTTAAATTTTACTGCTGCTTTTATTTAAACTCACTGCTTTAAGAACTTACTTCACTTGTTAAATAGAGTTCTAAAAAATTGTAGAAAAATGATAATTTTTATTAAGGTTTTTGTTCTTTTTAGATGAAGGATCGGTGATATCTAAAAAAAAGTGAAAAACTATTTTAAAAAATGGTGAGTGTTTTTATATTTGTTAGTTGAAATATTTAATACATACTTATGAAGCGTTGTAATCATCAAAAAATCCATTGGGGAAATTAGTTCGGATTGTGTCGGATGATTTGATGAGTTCCGCAAGCATGCGGATGATGTTTTTAGTTTGAAGCAGAGAAGCTCCAGCGCTCTGATGGTCCTAAGTTCTTCGTTATCACGTGAGAATTCGTGCGATGTATTTTGAAGTAAGTTATACAATTTATGGTTATAAATAGTGTTATGGATATATTCTAGCATGGTGATCCTAATGGGCTGTCTATATTCGTGGGGGACAATTAGTGGGCGGGAGGCGTCAACATCAAAGGATTTGGTTAGTGGGCAGAATATATAGATTTGTCGAATGGGATCGTAATTATGAAGGATGCCGTGAAGATTAGTGTTGTTGATGCAGTAAGTGAAGTTTAAAAAGCAGGCAAAATATATTTTGAATTAATGAATATAAATTTGTGTTGTGGGTTTCGTGATGGTGTATTAGATGTATAGTGGTGTTGTATGAATTTGTATTAGGTGTATGTTTTGTGCGTAGCATAATTTCAAGTGAAAAGAGTAAGTCACGTTCCGTAGGTGTAGGGAAGTGAAAATTTGTGCAAAATCGTTGAATTTATTAAAGTATGATTCATATGCTTTAGTGTTTTTGAGTGCTGCAGCGATGATGTTGTCTTATTTCTTGCTAGTGCTGTCGATATTAAATTTATATTCGGATTTGATAAAAAAAATTTCGGTGAGTTGAGGGTATTTGCCAGAGTTGTCCTTATTAGGGGTGTTTTCCATGTAGCGTGTGATGGCGTGGTCATAATGATTTATGGAGAATCTGTTATCTCGTGGTCCTACTGTGACGAGTTGTTTCTCGTGGAAAGCGGTTGTTAGTTTGTGTAGTCGAGATTGGCATAATTCGTTATCTGCGGAGGTGTTGTATAACGGAAGGGCTAAATGATTAGTGAAGTGGTAGCATGAGGTCCATGAACGCTTGGGAAACAGGCTCTATTCATCAACGAAGTTCAGTTGGTTGTCGCTAGTGGTCAGGTAGTAAGCATAATGAGGGGAAATGGTAAGTTGTAAGCTTAAAATTCTTTGGTGTTAGTATGTTGTGGATGAAAGGAAAATAGTCGGGCTGATTGGGAGCGGCTGATTAGGAGTTGGGATTGTGCGTTGGGATGTTTACGTTTAAAAACTCTGAGGGCTCTGGCTTCTGTTACATTTGTGGATTGATTTGAGGATTCTGATGGTAAGATAGAGTGCAATAACTGGTGAATTGTTAGTGTTATAAAGTTGTTGTTGTAGTGTAATAAATTAACTAACTCGAGCTCTAACTGGTTCTCTGTTATGGGACTAGGTGTGTCTGGTTGATCGCTAGACGTCGGGGAAAGAAAAGGAGTGGCATCAGTATAGGAAGAGGGGCTGGAGAGGATTCTCGAGGAGTTGGTAAGGGATGGCTTGAAAAGGTGGCTGTGTAAAAGTAGACGGGATGGGTTCTGAGTCTTGGAATTCACCGAGATTATCTATATCGGAGTTGTTAAAGTTAGAATTAGTGTTAAAAACAGCTTGTGTCGAACCATCCGAATCCTTGCGCAATGAGTTAGTTGTAAAGGTGGGTTTTCCGGGACATGCAGCCCAATCGATAATAGAGAGGAGCACCCAGAAACATTCATGACGGTGACAACACAATGTAGCCACCCATAGGGAACATACGTTGTATCACCAACGCGCTGCACACAACAAACCACCGACTGACCCTTGCGATACCGACAAGCGATATCCACTCATAATATGACGCATCGAGTCAAACAGCTTTCCATATGTACCGGGCCCAGATGATACCTATGCCTCAAGCTGATCCGACCGAAGCCATCAAATGGGTCACTGAAGGACCCTATCTGACCATATAGGACTCCATGGAGACAACAGTTCTGGCAGAAGACCAGTACGCCAACTGCTTGCGTACCTCGACGTACCGGTTCTGTCATCAAACAATGGAGACAAACTTAGGATAATCATTATGTCTGGTAATGTTATACTTCCACTCCACAATGACAGCATTGACGGTATGCGAGACTGAAAAATATCTTCTCCCAACACCTAAAAAAGCGACCAACCTTGGATACGGAATCTGGCTAATCACTTCGGCCAGTGTTGCGTTCTCGTTACGGGAGTACAGTCTCGTTGAACTGAACACGCCCAAACGAGAAGACCACCGTGGCTGCAATATTTGCTTAATAACCATGGACTGTGGGACACAGCTAATAAGCAAATATCTAAAAACTAGACCTGATTTAGACAGCTGCGACAAAATCCCTGCAAAACGGATCAGCGTATCTCTACCGAACCCGTTAGCACATTTGATTTCAGAGCTACCAGACTAAGCAGACCTCCCATACTTCGAATCCAAAACAGACGCCGGAGTGAAACTACTCAGAGAAGTTAACGCGCAACTCATTGACAGTCCACACCTGACAAAAGTAGATCAGCTGAACGAAATAGCAAAGCTTATTGCACACAATATGCGACTGCTTAAACCTAGCCTTGTGGACAAGATGGAACAGTATGTTCCACTCAAACTGTCTCTGACATTGACCATAGTTGTGTTCTTCGGAAATTTACTGCTACATGCACTGGTGATGAATCTATATCACCGCTTTGCGATCTTTAGACGATTAACACCGAAATTTATGAAATCTGGCGATGGAAGAATCGAATTTAAACCCGTACTATCAGTATCTGCAGCTAATAGACAATAGTTTGTAGAACAGGGATCTAAGATCTGAGAGAAAAATATGGTACTTACTCAAGACGAAATCAACGGACACCAAATACCGAAAACATATTCGCGAAGGACCTCAACCTGTTCGTCTGCGGGAATATCTGGAAGAAGACCGGCCTCCACTATTGACATTAACAAAGATCGTGAGGAGAGCGTAACTCAAATTTGAGCAGTTAAAAGTGTAACTCATCTAATACACCCTCATTTTCATTCTGACTGACCGAGTGGCTTCCATTAAGCATATAACTTTGCTTCTCTTTAATAAGAGATTCTAATTGTAGCTTAAATACTGGGACAACCCTTTGCGTATATTTGTGTTCCGCTTTAATTTAGTTACAAATCTAATCTATTTAATCTAAAAAAAATATAGTGTGATGGTGCTATCACAACTTAAAATTTAAGAAACGTTCAAAGCATTATTGTTTAGAAAATTTAAAAGCAGTAAATTTAATCTAATAACCGCAGTAAACTTAATAAAGTGTACAGTTAATTTATTGATATATCCATATAACCACTTGTGCCTTTCCACAATTATAGCCGCCAGGGAAGAATAATTAAGTGTAGTTATGTAAGATAGTGCTAAACACCTATGTTAATTAATCTCGCTAAATTACATTAATAGGAGCGAATTAGACGCTTTATAGATTAAATTGTAAACTCATACTATGCCAATGACGAGATGTTAAAGTATATTTGCTCAAAGTAAACAATAAGGAGATCATTAGATCAGTAACAAAAGAGAGCCAGTAAAAATCGTAGCTCTAAAGAATTGAACTTTCAAAACTCACTTTATTCAATCTAAGAAAGAACGGGGTATCCATCACAAAGCGCATCCCTAAGCTGAAGATTCAAAAGCCTAGACCGCACATCCAACATACATACTTCAAACTTCATCACTCTAGAATACAAAGCAACACCTAACGCTCAATCAATAATTGCCAGTAACGGTATATTACACTGATTGTATAGGTTTGCAAAAAAAAGCGTTGTAACTATTTTAACATAAGCACACATGTACTTTATATCGCGAAACTATTCGATTGCAATTTGGTTCAAGTGGATTAGTATTTTGATCATGTGCAACTGATAAGAAATTTAATGGCCGTCATAAGTCACAATGTTTAAAGTAGTGTTTCAAACTAGCCATTTGTTTGAAAGCAAATTAGATATACATAAAATACCGTGCAATGCAACATAAATAACTTACAAACCCTACATTCC